GAAAGGGTACGACAAAGATAGGAGGTAGATACGATGGGGAAAGACTATGAGTGAAGGTTGTTAATAGAAACAGACACGGCCAAGGATCAGCTAGGCCTGCTGGCTTATGCCTATGAGGCAGCCCCGGCAGGAGAATTTCAAGTTTAAGATTGCAGATTGAGATCATGTGTGAAAATAAAATAAAACAAGGGTGATGGGGGAGGTCCCTCTGTGTATATGATTGTCTTATTGGTTGGGAAATAAAGTCCTGTTGGCCAATAGGAAAACAAGATAGGTAGGATAGGAGTCAAGGAGGATTCTGGGAAAGGTAGGAGAAAGCACAGTGTGACCATGTGAGCCCTCAAAGACAGGGCACGTCTGTTAAGTCTTATAAAATATATAGATTTATGATAATTAAGACTGAGCTAGCAGATGAGAAATCCCAGTCATTGGCCAAGCAGCATTTGAACCTAACATAAGTCTCTGTGTGTTACTTGGGACCCTAGCGTGTCGGCGGGCAGAACTTGGGCGGCCTGGTGGAAAGTGCCCATGTGGCATGAGGACTCGGGCAGCTTGGCAGAAAGCTGCCCCGACAGGCAGCTCGGGGACAGAACACGAGAGTCAGGAATGGTGACAGTCCCGGGGAGAAGCGAAAGTATACATCAGAGACTGAGGTCAGGGACAGACAGGAGGACCTCAGACGGAATGGCACCCAGGAGGGACCAAGGGAATGCGAAAACAGAGTTGGAGGTGTGGAGTCAGAGAGTAAAAGAAGGGGCCACAGAGATGAAGGGACAGTGGTCAGCAGAGAAACAGATCAGGAGGCGTGAGGTGTCTGGTCAGGCAGCCTAGGACTTGCTCCCATGAAGCTCCTGGCAGGGTTCCTTGTTCTGTGAGGCATCTCCACAGTGTTCCTGTATTCCTTTAGGGGAACCTGCGCCGAGTGGACGTCCAGCTGTTGGGACAGCTGTGTCACCTGGGACTGGAGATGGGGGCCCTGCGGGAGGAGCTGGCCACCATCCTGGAAGAGGAGGAGGAGGAGGAGGAGGAAGGAGAAGAGGAGGAGGAGAGCTGTGTTGAAGAAGAGGACAAAGGGCCTCAGGGGAAGCAGGAGGAGGGGCATCCAGGGGCCTCCTATCCAGCCCTGTGCCTCCCTGACTTTGAGATGACCATCTGAGGTCATGGAGTCTGACACACAAATGAGATGCAAACGTATGCAAAGGCAAGAAGATATTTGGGTCCAATCAGGTTGAGAATCAATGATGCTCCTTCAGCAGACCGCTCTTCCCCAGAGGAGTGCAGCGGGGATCCTGGCAATGGCCCCATGAGATGTGGCCAGGTTTGACTGTAGGCTCAGGAGAGGCACAGACACTATAGGTCTGTCTGCAGAAGTGTTGGCAATGTGGCCTGGAGACCTGGTGCTTGGCAAAAGTGATGGAGATGCTGGCAGACAGAATGGAAGACCAATTCAGCCTAGCGTGGTAGCTGTCATGGCAACGGAGACATGGCAAGTTCACACTGAGATGAGCATGAGGCAAAGTTCAACGACTTCTCAATAATTTAAAAAATTGATTACACGTTGAAATGATGTCTTGAATACATGGGATAAAAATATTTATTTCATACGCTTTTATTGTGGTTATATATATTCATATATATAAAACTATTTTAGTCAATTTTCATGTGTGGTATGTGATATAAGTGCACACCTGTGTGCAGGTGTGTGTGGCTGTCTCCCTCTGTGGGTCTCCCACTGAACCATGCCACTGTGGCTAGGCTGGCCCTCAAGCTCCCAGGACTTGCGTGGTTGCGCCGTCTCCAGTGCTGGGGGTAACAGGCACATGTGGTTGAGCCTGGCCTTTTCCTTTGGGTGATGGGAGTTTGAATTCAGGCCTTCGTTACGTTTGCACAGCAAGTGGTCTTACCCACTGAGCCATCCGAGCTCCATCGTAGGTTCTTTCTTCTGTCTCTGTCTCTGTCTCTGTCTCTGTCTCTGTCTCTGTCTCTGTCTCTCTCTCTCTCTCTCTCTCTCTCTCTCTCTCTCTCTCTCTCTCTCTCTGAGATAGGTTTCTATGTAGTCATATAATCTAGGCTGGCCTGGAACTCACAGAGCTTCTCCTGCCTCTGCCTCCTGAGTGCTGGGGTTAAAGGTGTGTGGCACCATGTTTGCTTTTCTCCCTTTTCTTTATTCTGGTTGTATATTTGTGTGAGTGTGGATTTGTACATGCCACAGCAGGTGTGGAGGTCAGGGGACAACCTTAGGCACCAATGCATGGTTTCTACCCCGAAATAGGGACTCTCATATTTATGGCCATATGCCAAGGTTACCTAGCCTGAAGGTTTCTGGAGGTTCCCCTGTCTCCTCTTCCCATCTATCCATGGGGGCACCGGGAATAAGATACTCACTAAGGAATCCAGGTTTACATTGGTTCTGGGGATTTGAACTAGGTTCGTATACTGGAAAGCACTTTCCCCACTGAGTCATCCTAGGTCCTCATTCTTTTTAATTTTTTTTTTGTTTTTGAGACAGGATTTCTTTATATACTCCAGTATGGACTGAAATTCTCAATTTGTTTCCCTCAGCAATCTGAGTGCAGGGGTAACACATGAGTGCTGGGGTGACAGATGTGAGAGCTGGGTGACAGATGAGAGCTGGGTGACAGATGTGAGCTGGGTGACAGATGAGAGCTGGGTGACAAAGGAGAGCAGGGTGACAGATGTGAGAGCTGAGTGACAGATGAGAGCTGTGTGACAGTAGTGATCTGGGGTGACAGATGTGTGCTGGGTGACAGATGTGTGCTGGGTGACAGATGAGAGCTGGGTGACAGATGAATGCTTGGTGACAGATGTGTGCTGGGTGACAGATGAGATCTGGGTGACAGATGAGAGCTGTGTGAAGGATGAGACCTGGGTGACAGAAGAGAGCTGGGTGACAGATGTGTGCTGGTTGACAGTTGACAGCTGTGGTGACAGATGAGAGCTGGGTGACAGATGTGTGCTGGTTGACAGTTGACAGCTGTGGTGACAGATGAGAGCTGGGTGACAGATGAGTGCCTGGTGACAGATGTGTGCTGGGAGACAGATGCGTGCTGGGTGACAGATATGAGCTGGGTGACAGATGAAGCTGGGTGACAGAGGAGATCTGTGGTGACAGTGAGAGTTGGGTGACAGATGAGAGTTGGGTACAGATGAGAGCTGTGTGACAGATGAGAGCAGGGTGACACATGAGAGCTGGGTGACAGATGTGTGCTGGGTGACAGATGAGAGCTGGGTGACAGATGTGTGCTGGGTGACAGATGACAGCTGGGTGAGAGATGAGAGATGGGTGACAGATGTGTTCTCAGTGTCAGATGAGAGCTGGGTGACAGATGAGAGCTTGGGTGAAAGATGAGAACTGAGTGACAGATGTGTGCTGGTGACAGATGTGTTCTGGGTGGCAGATGAGAGCTGGGTGAGAAATGAGAGCTGTGTGACAGATGCGTGCTGGGTAACAGACGTGAGCTGGGTGACACATGTCAGCTGGGTAACAGATGAAAGTTGATGTGACAGATGAGAGCTGGCTGACAGATGTGTGGTGTGTTACAGATGAGGGCTGGGTAACAACAGAGCTTGTTGACAGATCAGACCTGGGTGACAGATGTGTGCTGTGTGTCAGATGAGAACTAGGGTCAAAGATAAGAGCTGGGTGACAGATGAGACCTGGGTGACAGTTAGAGCTGGGTGACAGATGATAGCTGGGTGACAGATGAGAGCTGTGGTGACAGATGCGAGTTGGCGTGACAGATGAGAGCTTGGTGGCAGATGTGTGCTGGGTGACAGATGACAGCTGGGTGACAGATGAGAGCTGGGTGACAGATGAGAGCGGGGTGACAGATGAGTGCTGGGTTGACAGATTAGAGCTGGGTGACAGATGAGAGCTGGGGTGTAATATTAGTGCTGGGTGACAGATGAGAGCTGGTGTGACACATGAGAGCTGGGGTCACATATGAGAGCTGGGTGATAGATGAGAGCTGGGTGACAGATGAGACCTGGAGTGAGAGATGAGACCTGGGTGACAGATGTGTGCTGGGCGACAGTTTTGAGAGCTGGGTGAAACATGTGAGTTGTGTGACAGATGAGAGCTGGGTGATAGATGTGTGCTCGGAGACTAATGTGTGCTGTGTGACAGATGTGAGCTGGGTTACAGAGGAGATATGGGTGACATCAGAGCTGGGTGACAGATGTGTGCTGGGTGAGAAATGAGAGCTGGCGTGACAGACGAGAGCTGGGTTTACAGATGAGAGCTGTGTGACAGATTAGAGCTGTGGTGACAGATGAGAGCTGGGTGACAGATGAGAGCTGGGGTGTCAGATGAGAGCTGGGTGGCAGATGAGAGCTGGGTGACAGATGAGAGCTGGGTGACAGATGAGAGCTTGGTGGCAGATGTGTGCTGGGTGACAGATGAGAGCTGGGTGAGAGATGAGTTCTGGGTGACAAGTGAGAGCTGGCTGACAGATTTGTGCTGGGTGACAGATGGGAGCTGGGGTCACAGATGAGAGCTGGGTGACAGATGTCAGCTGGGTGAGAGATGTGAGCTGTGTGACAGATGAGAGCTGACTGACAGATGAGAGCTGGGTGACAGATGAGACCTGGGGTGAGAGATGAGAGTTGGGTGACAGATGAGAGCTAGGTCACAGATGAGAGCTGGGTGACAGATTTGAGTTGGATGACAGATGAGTGCTTCGTGACAGATGTGTGCTTGGTGACAGGTTAGAGGTGGGTGACAGATGAGAGCTGGGTGACAGATGTGAGCTGGCTGACAGATGTGTGCTGGGTGACATCAGAGCTGGGTGACAGATGAGAGCTGGTTGAAAGATGAGACCTGGGTGACAGATGTGTGCTGTGTGACAGATGTTTGCTGGGTTACAGATGAGAGCTGGGTGACAGATGTCTGCTGGGTGACAGATGAGAGCTTGGGTGACAGATGAGAGCGGGGTGACAGATGAGAGCTGGGGTGAAAGATGTGCCCTGGGTTCCAAATGAGAGTTGGGTTACAGATGAGATTTGCGTTGACAGATGAGAGCTGGGTGATAGATGAGAGTTGGGGTCTCAGATGAGAGCTGGGTGACAGATGTGTGCTGGTGACAGATGTGAGCTGGGTGACACACGTGAGCTGGGAGACAGATGAGAGCTGGGTGACAGATGTGTGCTGGGTGACAGACAAGTGCTGGGTGACAGATGTGTTCTGGGTGACAGATGAGAGCTGGGCTACAGATGAGAGCTCGGTGACAGATGAGAGCTGGGGTGACAGATGTGTGCTGGGTGACAGATGAGAGCTGTGTGACAGATTTGTGCTGCGTGACTGATGTGAGCTGGGTGACACATGTCAGCTGGGTTACAGATGAGAGCTCGGTGATAGATGTGTGCTGGGTGACAGATGAGTTTTTGGGTCACAGATGAGAGTTAGTGTGAAAGATGTGTGTTGTGTGACAGATGAGAGCTGGGTGACAGATGTGTGCTGGGTTGCAGATGAGATTTGGGGTGACAGATGAGAGCTGGGTGACAGATGAGAGCAAGGGTGACAGATGTGTGCTGGGTGACAGATGAGATCTGGGGTGACAGACGTGTGATGGTTGACAGATGAGAGCTGGGTGACAGATGTGAGCTGGGTGACTGATGAGATCTGGGGTCACAGATGAGAGCTGGGGTGAGAGATGAGAGCTGGGGTGCGAGATGAGAGCTGGGTGACAGATGAGAGCTAAGTGACAAATGTTTGCTGGGTGTCAGTTGAGAGTTGGGTGACAGAGGAGATCTGGGACTTTGAAACTACAACAGACATAGTTTGTACTTATGTACCTTTCAAAGGACATATTTTTGTGTATTTCGGTGCAATTGGACTTTGGAACTAAAAGAGAGATAGTGGTTAGTTATGTACAATGCAATAGACCTAGTTTTGTGTATGTCGTTGTATCTGGACCTTGGAACTGCAACAGAATTGGTGGGTAGTTATGTATGATTCAATGGACCTGGTTTTGTGCATTTCGTTGTATCCGGACTTTGGAACTACAACAGAGATAGTGGGGAGTTATATACGATTCAATGGACCTAGTTTTCTGTATTTCGTTGTATCCATCCGGAATTTGGAACTACAACAGAGATAGTGGGTAGTTATGTATGATTCAATGGACCTAGTTTTGT